ATAAACCATCTTTTCTTATATTTCTTAACTAGTGCATACTCGTGCGATGCACGTGCTAGTATTATTAAGATTAGCATTTAAATTTGGGTGATTGGATGATAGACCATGTATTGGAATAAAATAAAACATAATTTATATATTATTAAACACATCATTGTACACAACGTTAATTGTTTGGTCTTTTTATACATCATCTATCGCCACAAATTATATTAGGATTCCAGATAGATTTAAGTAAATCAATTAATTTATTTAGCAGGATATACGTGATATGATTTATACTCGTTTTATAAATATTACATAACCAAATATAGAATTATTTATTTATTTAAAAATAAAAATAATTGAGTGGACAAAAATAAGGAGTAGACCAAAATAAAACACATGTATTACCAGAATATGGTTTCTGAAAAATGATTAAATAACGTAATTAAGTTAATTAAATTATGTTAAAACGCATAACGAAAATACGTTTTAAATAAAAACGCATTATCGAAATACGTTTTATAATTAAAATTAATTTTACATTTATGTTTTAATTTATAAAATGCATTCTCGAAATGCATATATAAATAAAATTAATTTTAAAATTTTTAAAAGGGAAAAAAACTTTAACCCATCTGAACTATTGCAGTTTTGGCGCATCACCCTATAAACTTTTATTTTTTACAAACCACCATCTAAACTATACGGATTTATCACTTTGCCATAGGAAACCAAAATTAAAGCTGTTTTTGTCCAAAAACAGCTAGTTCATAAGGCTATTTTAGTACATTCATATATTTTTTTAAAAAAGTAAAAAAAAAAGAAAAAAAAACCGGAATATCCCCCGCTCCCATGCACTGTACACCTCCTTCCCTATCCTCTTTCCACCATATCCAACGATTTTGACACGCTTCCCATGTACCGTGCCTCTGTCACTATTTACAGCACCCACATCTGCCGCAACGTGCTCCGGGCTGCGATCACGATCTGCGAGAAAAACGACGGGGCCCGCTTATCGTCCCCGCCCATCTCACAGATGTAGTCAAGGTCAAACGAGTCCAGCGGCTCCTCCCCGACGATGCCCGCCACGGAGCCCACGACCAGCCCAACGATCCCGACGTGCAAAATGAAGCACACGTTGATGTGCGTGCAACTCTCTTTGCACGCGTCGGTTGCCGCCGCGAATGGGAGGCAACAATGGAGGCTGCCTGCGGCTCCGGTGGTGTAGCCGAGCACGTCAGACGGGCATGAAGAAGGCAAAGAGTCTACTCTTTTTGTACAAAGATTTTTCTGTAGATGAATGCATTTTATCGGACCTGTCCGATGACGGCAAAGGTGACTTGAGCCATGGCTTTTTCCTTCTTTTTGTACAGAGATTGTCTCCACTGTCTGCCAACTTTCCTTGCATTAGAAGAAAAGGGTGAGAATTTTCTTTCTTTTTGTTTTCCTATTTTGTGAGTTTGGCTTGATAGTTTTTATAGGAAAGTTGTACGTGTGTATATGTGTTTTCAAGTGTTGTGGACAATAGCCAATTGTTTTCATGATGGAGTTATGCATTTGTACTCTTTGCACTCTTCGAATTAAATGTTAGGCACTACTATTTTGTGAGTATTTGGTACGAGGGTTTAATGAGATGGTCCAATTTTGGCATCTGTAAATTTGTTTGCAACTAAGGGCTCTGCTGTCAACAATTTGGTTTAAGTTGTTTTGCTATTATTGGAGTGTTCACTTTGGACAATTTTTTAACAACAACAACCAATTTTTTAGCAGTATGCGTCAGATGGCCGCACTACGACCGCGACTCTCTCTGTCGGTGGTCTATTGCGGTGGGGCGAGCGGCAGCTACACCTGGAGAGTCAAGTCCTCGACTTATCCGTTACCAGACCATTTTCCAATTGCACACGGAGAAGGAAGGGCCACGACACCCTGAATGATGGTGTCACCTCTGGTAAGGTATATCCCTCATTCTCTCTCCTGTACACTCCCTTCATTTTTATATTTTTATCACTTTTTTAAAAAACAATACGAAATTTCTAAAATGCCATCGAAAATCAGCTTTTTTTAGTCAAAACAACTTTACATCCGGTTTAGGGGGTAAGATGAGAAAAACGTGGAGTTCATATGGCTGTTTGTCAAAAAAATTAGTTGACAGGGTAAGCCGCAAAAATCGCGATAGTTTGGATGGGAAAAAGTAATTTACCCTTTTTAAAAATAATTTTTTTTGCAGGAAATAATTTTTTCAAAAC